GGCTCCTCGGGACCCGCTCGAGCAGGTCCATGTCCTTACATTCGTGGTCCCAGAGCTGGACACAGTACTCCAAGGTGTGGTCTCACAAAAGCAGAGAAGGAGGATCACCTCCTGCAAGCTGCTGGCCACACCTCTTTTGATGTAGCCCAGGATATGGTTGGCCTTCTGGGCTGCGAGCACACATTACCAGGTCATGTTCAGCTTCTCATCAACCAACACCCCCAAGTCCTTCTTTGCAGGGCTGCTCTCAATCCACTCATCGCCCAACCTGTATCCATGTTTGGGATTGTCCCAACCCAGGGCGCTTGGCCTTGTTGAACTTCATGAGGTTTGCACAGGCCCACCTCTCCAGCCTGTCAAGGTCTCTCTGGATGGTCTCCCTTCCCTCCAGCGTGTTGACCACACCACACAGCTTGGTGTTAACGGCAAACTTGCTGACTGCGCGCTCAATCCCACCGTCCACGTCACCGATAAAGATGTTAAATAGCACCGGTCCCAATACCGACGCCCTGAGGAACACCACCCATCACTGGGATCCACTTGGACATTGAGCCATTGATCGCAACTCTCTGAGTGCAACCATCTAGCCAGTTCCTTGTCTACCAAGTGATCCATCTGTGAAATTCATGTCTCTCCAATTTAGACAGTGTCATCTGCTTTGCACAAGTCCAGGTAGATGATACCGTTATATTGTAGTTTTGCCTTAAAAAAAACGAGATGGCCTTAGAACCTGTGTGCAATTGCTTAACTGCTTCCCATGAGTGAGTAACACTGAAGCTCATCCTCGCAGAGCAGGGGAGATGCTGACAATACTTTGTTTCATGTAACGACAATGTTATAGGTAACCACGTGAAGCTGTTTAAACCTGTCTCGGCTTTGAGGATTTCTAGCTTTGATGCTGCATTTCATACTCACTGAATAAAAAATTGGGTGACAGACATAAGTCACTTGGATGCCAGCCCTTCCAGCCTCTACAGCACCTCCAACCCGCCCTGAAACTCCAGCCCCTCCAGCCTCTCCATTGCCTGAAGCCCCTCCAGCCTCTACAGCCCCTCCAGCCTGGCAGCCTGCAGGAAACACTGCCCTGTGCCCAGCTACCATGTGTGCTTACACAGCATCCCAGGCATCCAGGACAAGGTGCTGCCTCTTGAGAGTGGACTGCCAAGCTACAGGAACTCAGGATTTAGCTCAGGTTAAAAATAGTTAGCGGCAGAAGGCAAAACAGGTAAAGAAACTGCATGAAAGTTTTAGGGACACTGGAAATGATTCACGTCTCCACATCAGGCGCAACAATCCCGCAGTGGTGAAAGGAGAAGCTATTCCTGTTTCCACCTATCCTCTTACTGGTGTCTTACAGAGAATGGCTGAGGTCTTCTGTGGAAACACACTGCTGAGTGGAGTTTTGAGTTGCCCAAGACCACTTATTTGAACTGAGAAAGGATCAAATGCTTCCCATGAACACAGCAGTGTTCTCAAGGCAGATTTCTAGAGCCCAACATTGTCACGTTGCATAATAAGAAGCAGGGGGAAATAGGCACCTCCTAAGTGTGTTTTGCAGCCTTTACCAGAAGGATGGACATCACTGCACTGTGCACCAGGAGATGGAGGTGATGTGCAGCAGGGAGCACATTCAGTGGCCTATGAGTTGTTCCCTGCAGCTTAAAAATCTGCAAAGGGAAACTGCAAGGGGAATTCACATTCCCTGCTAAAAATGGCACCTGTTTCACAAAAACTAAATTGTGCCAGCTGAAAGCCACTTATTAACTTCAAGACTCTCTGTTACATCACTAATGTCCTGAAGAAATAAACACAGAGTCACTGGAAATGCCCATACGCAGACTGGTGAAGGTGTCCCGCTGTGATGAATCAAATGCAGCACACCACATTCACGCATGTAGCAGGAAGAGGAACAGTGAGTACACATGTCAACAGGTGATGAGAGTTGAGTTAATTCATGTGTCTCTCAAAGAGTATGATCAGACTCAAAGTTTTATGAATGAATAAAAAAGTCTTCACTTCTTAGATACTTACACTTAATTGTCTAGAAATGATGCTGAATTGTCTGGGAAAAGCCATGAGGCCATTTGGGTCTGGTATCACATTTAAAAGGAAATTGGTGTCAGAATTAAAAAAAAAAAAAGCGCTTCTGCAATCTCAAAAAAACAAAAAAAGTGTTATTTGTGTGGTAAACAGAACTCCCAGAGAGAGCATGAAAATTTTCAAAACTCTAGAAATATGAATAAAAATTATATACAACTGCTTAGGAAATCTTGTGACTCTTTCTTTCCTTTCATCACCACAGAATTCTTATACTTAAACAAGAGCTCTTGGATCTGTATTTCCAAACATTTTTAAAACCTCTCAGGGTTTCCCAGCAGGGAGGGGAACACAGGGCTGGCAGTGAGCAGGACATGGCCACATGCCAGTAGTAGAGTGACCGCATCTCACTCTCCCCACAAACCTCCCTCTGAAATGTTCATTTCCTTGTTTCTAAAATCAAAGATAGCTGAAAAAAAGCTCTCTAGTTCACCAGCTTCGTCCCACTGATGAGCATTTTGACTGATGCTAGAGAGCACCAAAGCGTCTCACAATGATGTCCTGATGTTTAACAGCATCAAATGGCTCTGTCAGTCCCACAGACAGCAACGCCCCCACCTCACGGGAGGGACTGCTGCTCTCACCCATCGCACCCCTGACAGCCGGTCAGGCTACGAGCAAGGTCCAAATTCAAACAACAGGACAGACCATTGCAGTGCTCATCTCTTTCAGCAATGCTGACTAGCCAACAAGGCCTGAACAAAAGCATGCAGAAGCTGATTATTACAGCTGTAATTACCAGTAAGAACAAAACAAACTAAAACACGTATCTCAGCTAACGATGGAGTCACAGAACTTTAAGAGAAAGCAAGGCGTTACGAACCGCATTACATTTGCACAGGCTCCACTGGGACAGCCAAGCTGATAATCAGCCTCACTGTGATATTAAGTCCTTATCCAGCCTCTTCACTAATAAAAATAATGGCTGTTGTCAGCTTCCAACAAAGCAAAATTAATGACGAGACACCTGCAAGGCATACTCCAAGTATAAGCTAAGCCAACATGGCAGAGGACAGCAGCCCGTCCTTCCAGCTGCCGCTTGCACAGGCATCACCGTAAAACCTGTGTGAGAGAGCCCCTGGATTGCCAGGGCTGGAAGGAAGGACACAGAGGAGACATGCTGTGAAAAACATGGTAACAACAAAGCTCAGGGCGGGGGAGAAAAAACCAGACAAGCAACACAAATTGATGCATTTCTCTTGACAAGCCTGCTGTGTACCACACTCAGTAAACAGACTAATATACTTTTGCCTTTATAGTGATCACGAGCAAAGGCCATTATACTCTTAGCAGCTAAATCCTCCAGCTCACATTTCACATGAGTACATCAGCAGTGATGTCAAAACGAGCTGTTTACGTTGTAGGTGACTCTTGATTATGTTTGAGATGCAAAAGGGTGACAGAGAAAGAAAAGTTACGGGAGGCAGGTGAGCGCACAGGATTTGCACAACAGCAGTGTGCACAGGAGCAAGCAGCTTTGTTGGGCTGGGTGTGCACATTCATTTCACGGATTTCAAAGTCCTCTGGAGGCTTTTGAGTGGCTACCAGCACTCATCAGTAAATGAGACATTGCCAAGCAACATGAATAAAACAAGAATAATTTGATCAAGGCTTAGATAATAAACTACATGTTTATTACGTAAGACACTATATAAATAAATGAGGAGAGAGTGGGTGAGCTTACTGTGTCATACTAAAGTGACTAAAGTGGGGCAACATTCTTGCTCATTTCTTCACTTTCAAAACGCACATTATTTTTCCTGATTTCTGCACATTGACAGCACTGTAAACACAGCACAGCTGTGCTAGATTCCCTAACTTCAGTATCTGCTTTACAATTTCAGCTGAGACCCAAAAAGTACAATGGCCAACTCCACTAGATGTAATGAGTTCACCTGCCAAATGGGACCCTTTGGGCAAAACAGCCAAATGCAAAGGCTGGAAGAGTTCTCAGAAGAGCTTAGGCTCAGACAAAGGCTTGTGCAGTTTTAACAGGGAAGCCCAGGATTGCCTAGATTGTGTCTACGTAGCTTCAACATCATGAGTTTGCATGTTTTTAGCACTGGCAGGGTGATGCTGCAGCTACGGTACAACAGAAGGGGAGAACAGACAACTGAAGTCCTGATCATTAACAAAGTCAATTGATATGCTTCCTATTTCAACGGGAAGATTCTGACAAAAGGGTTTAGAAGCCCTCTTTATTTGGTCTATCTGTAGGAGGCTACAGAGATGATTTGGTTAATGCCTGCCAAAGCAGGGGATTTCTGACAGTTTCTGCCATGCAGTCCACCCTGGGGCAGAAGGGAGAACGGTGCTGAACCTGCAGCCTCATATTGGGTTCATCACATTGTGTCAGACGCAAAGCACAGCAGCAGAAAATACCAAGTTACTGCACGTAGGCTGCCTCTCTTCCCATCTGCAGCACAGTTCATTTATGTGTCCAACATACGCAATACAAATGCCAGCATTTTCCAAGTCATGCCATATCTTGACAAGGTACTAGAGCATTCTTCAGAAAGAAACCCACATTCAGAAATACCACATCATCAGATAGGTTTCTTGCTCTTCAAGTGAGACATAGCTCCGTCCCTGAATCAATATCCCCTGTACCTTCTCCATTTAATTCTCCTTCACCTATGGTAAAAGAGCTTCAGCTCCACAGGAACTCAAGGCCAGAGAGACAGCTCTTCAGGAATCAGACCATCCAGCCTAAAACTAATGTGTGCACCTTGAAACTCACTGCAAAATCAACGCAGACCACAGACCTGCACTGCTGCTTCCTAAGTGAGCCTCAATAATTTGTGCAAGCGGCAGTTTCAGAAGAGCCTCCAACACACCCAGCAGGGTTTTCCCATCCAAAGAAAATGGACAACGCAGTGTTGGTAACATTCATTTACAAAGAGAAAACACCACAATCTTCTTCTTGTTGGGTGCGCATAAGATAAGAAATACTGCAGCTCCCACCTGCTTTCAGAAGCCATGCTCCCAAACGGCTACTTGGATGTACAGGAGGCAGATGCATTCCTAGAAAGATGGGAATGAACTCCCACCCCTCTGCTGAAAGCGGTGGAACAGGGACAGCTAGGCTGACAGTCAGGCTGGACATGCCCTGATGTCTGCAGTTTGCGTATCATAGGGTTTCTGTTTGGGAGTAAGTTTGCTGGACTGAGAGCCCCAAAGTTAATCACAAATTCCCCTCTGCAAGAAGAGGTTCTGCCTGACCACTGCTACAGACCAAGAAAAACCATCTGACAGCAAGCTAAGGACATGCCCTGCAGCTCTGTTAACCAGAACATCCCAAAGTCAGCTTGAGTGGCACCAAACAAATATAACCTCCTAGGAGACAGGGGGAAAAAATTAATTGCTTTACAGTTTACATTCCGTACAAGAATGTTGTCTTTCACAATGTTTCCTTGATGCAGGCAATGGCTTGGAGCAAACAGCTGTTAAAATTAGCTTGGGTTTGTCTGCCTGATGCATTGTACTTGAAAGCATCAGACTTCTGCTGGAGAAATGCACATCCAGTGACCCTGACATAACACACAACTCTTTCTTACTTTGCAGATGCTACCAGATGGCACATGGGCCAGCAAATATGACAGTGAAAATCACCCTAAGTGAACAGCCTGAGTCCTCACCCCTGTAAGCAGCGAGTATTTCAGAAACACAAGCGCCGTTACTCTTGTGCTGCACCCTGCAACCCACTGCAACCCACCCCAGGACCATGTCTTGTCCCTCTGGACACGATGTTCAGCCCCTGGTTTGCTCCTGCCCCTCTGACTCGGGTGGGCAGGGGGCTGCATTAAGCAGCTCAGACCCGTTTCCAGCCCCAGCCACTGAGGCCCTGGAGGCCCTGTAGCTGATTTGCAAATCTGCCCAAACCAACAGATTTATACTTACTTCATGACATACCACTTGCTCATTACACTAATTAACATTAACCACACATTTTTTATTCGTAATGACTGATGTTGATAATCAAGTAAACTAGTTAAGGTATTTTTTCCCCTCAGAAAACTGTACCTATGTGGCAATGACTGACCTGCGCTGATCCTTTGGAACCCTCATCCCTTTCACCAGAAACCCAGGGAGTCATGCCCACTGATGGATAAATCAACGAGCTGCATGTGATAATGTAGACAACAATCTCCTCCTGTAGTTACAGTTAACAGTGATATATAACATTTAATCATTCCTTTTGTTCTCGTGGATTTTACGCCCTGCCAATGCTTGCAGCTGTAAGCATGTTTATTGCCTCTCCTTTATCACTGCAATTCATTTATCTGCTCATTTATCTTCTTCACAATCTCCTTTTAAATAAACCTTTCTATTCCCAGCCCCTTGCATTAATCTGTTTTGATTTCCTTCCTGTTTTCAAACATCCGTCCTGCACTGAGGAATCCAGAAATGCAAAGTGTTCCAGATTAGGTCACCGGGCATAAAAAAGATACTAATGTCTGTAAACATGATACTGAGAACATCTTAATTAAGTCAGCTATATTTAACTACTGATATCAAGAGCAAGTATAAGATCAACTTCATACTGAAACCTAAAACCTTTGCCTATACTTCCCATCAGAAATCTTCACTTGGACACTAGCACAGAAAAATACCTTCTGACACCTCTTTGAGAAAAAAATCAAGGTTCTGCCCTGCAGGGCAATGACCAATCCTCTCCGTGCTTCTCCAAATACAGAGGCTGCTGGGAAAAAAAAACCAGATGAAGAAGTTTTTTCAGGACACCTGGTTCACAGCCAGCATCCCTAGAGCACGAATGTTCCCCGTCCTCGGTGAGTCCTTCCCTCCTGCTCAGCCCAGAACTACCAGAACCAAAGGGAAAATGCCACTGCAATTCTGACGAGGGCCGAGATCCCAAATCCCCCTGGGCCGCTGGCTTATTAGTGTTAAAACAGTGAAATTACTCGCGATGGAGGCTCTGCCCGGCC